CTTGGGTAATTATTTTATTTGTATGATAGTTTATACCTTAATTATTTAGTTTACAATTAAGTTAATTATTTTATTTCGTTAAGACTAAAAAGCTCGTTAATTAATTAATTAATATTAATTCGTCTTATACTCTTATTCAATTACTAGTCGAACTTACTAAGTGAATTCAATTCGGCCACATTTGTGATTTCGATTGACTTTATCTTAAACTCAACTCTAACAACATTTTGATTCCTCCTTAACCCATTTTTATTTGGAAAAATAACTTAATACACAACTATAATTTTTATATTCTCTAATTTTCCCTACTTTTTTTAAATATTACATAATTCCCTTTTTTTTAATTTTAGTGTAAGTTTTTAGATACATTACATTCTCTCTCCTATAATACACATTTACCAATTTTAATGCCTATTTTTTCTCCATTAAAACACTCAACCTCTTAAATCAGTTTTTGAATTTTAAATTTTATCCATTTAAACACTCAACCTTTTAATCAGCTTTTTGATTTTGAATTATTAAATTTAATTAATTTTAAATAAAAGACCAAATTTTGAAATTTTGAATTTCAAAATTGAAAAAATTTGAAATTTAAAAAAGTAAAAATTTAAGGAAGTAGGACAACTTCCATTAACTTCTACCGTTTTGTTCTTACTCCATCAAGTTTCAGTTCTTTTTTTTCCTTAATCATCTTCATTCATCTTAACCCAGCATATTTTTCTTTTCTTCTTTTTATTCTTAATCCATCACCGTCTATTTCTTCCTAATCTGTAATCATTTGAACCCATCATCTTTTTATTATTAATCCATCGTCAATTCGTATATTCTTTTCTTTTTTATTTTTGTTAATTGTTCTATTACATCATTGTAATGGATCCGTTAATTAATAGAAGGATATATGATTACGAAGATGAAAATTTGAAAGAAAATAGGAAAAAGTCTTTGCATGATCTTATGAATATTTAGAAGGATTCAAACAAAGACTCTGGCGAAACATCAAAATCAAAGGTTGTCAAAATACAACAAAAAAGGAAAAAAGAAGCAGCAAACATTGTTGTTAGTCCTACATTGTCTCGGGTTAGTATTTTGGTACTTAAAAATGTTGTTTAAATTAGTAAAAAATTTAAGGAATCAAGTGTGCTTGCTGATACATTTGAATAAGTGTGTATAGTATTTTAGATGGTGAATTGATACATGAATTTGTTGTGTATCATAATATTTTATATGCATCATGAAGTTGTTGAAAATTATTATAATGTATCATTCAATAAGTTTAGTAAATGTGTCATCAACTGTGCTTGATGATACATATAGAATCTGTGTGTACAGTGTTTAGTCAATGCACTGATACATGTAGTAGATATGTATCACATGTTTTGCATGTAGTATGAATTCCTGAAAACTTATATCATGTATCAGTAAGGTATTAGTTGTTTAGTTGATGTACTGATACATGTTTTGAAATTTGTTATAATGTATCATTCACTAAGTTTAATAAATGCTTCATCAGCTGTACTTGATAATACATATAGAATCAGTGTGTATGTTGTTTAGTCGATGTTTATGATACATGTATTAGACATGTATCACATGTTATAATGTTTTATTTAATTCACTGATACATGTTGTAGACATGTATCACATGTTTTTCATGTAGTATGAAATTCTGAAAACTGAAACCATGTATCAGTAAGTTATTAGTTGTTTTATTTAGTATTTATATTTCTATATCGTTTTAATTTGTTGTTTTATTTTCAAATTGCAGCCACTGAAGTACAAGATTAAAAAGATACCAACACATCCCATAAGGTTTGCTGTCAATTTTAACAGCAATTTCCTAAAGGACTTTGAAAAATACATAGGGGAGAATGTTATCCAAATGTTTAAGGATACAATTTTTGGACCCTTTTTAGACATTTCTAAATGTAATTTTCAGGACTAAATAACTAAGTACTTATTGCTTTTAGAATTGGAACAAAGCAACCCTAATGTGTTGCATATTAGACATTCCAACGGGTGTGTCCTGAACTTTGGTATAGATGAATTTGCATTATTAACAGGACTTAAGGTCAGAGGAAATACAAATGATTTCAAATATCCAGAACAAACTAATTGTATGCTTTTTCAAAAGTATTTCCCTTGTGCAGTCAGTGTTACAAAGCATCAACTAGTTCAACGGTTTAAGATGGGTAATTGGGAGAACAATCAGGATGCACTCCAAATGTCTATACTGTTCTTTATTCATACATTTGTATTAGCTACTCTTGATAATACAACTATATCTATTGTCGACTCTCTAATGGTTGAAGATGGTAGATATCAACAGTTTCCTTGGGGTCAGCTATCATTTTCCAAACTAGTTGGTTCACTTATACATGATTTTGACGTTAGTAAAAAGTTGTACCGATTATATAGGATGTCATATGCACTAAATGTTTTGATATACGAATGAGCATCCAATTTAAATTCTGAAATAGTTGTGAGAGAACGCAATGTCATCCCAAGAATATGCAATTGGAGAGTTGTGTATGAAAAGGCAAAGTTTGAAATGCTTTCTACCATTTTCCAAGAGGTAAAATTTTATTTTTGTATATGGAATATCGTTATTTATGTCTTTGTGATACATTATGAAATACTACTGTATCTAATAGTTAAATTATCTTATGTGTTTGTGATACATTCAGAATGCATGTTCAAACATTGTCCCAACAATAGAGGAAATTGAAGCTTTTGATCTTGCTCAAGTTGAACATGCTCATTCTACATCAATACCATTAGTACAACCAAACGAGGAAGATTATTTAGATAATTTCTCCACAAAATCGCCCGAACAGTTATTGAGGACATATTCTAGAGTGTCTGATACATCTCCTCCACCACCGCCAAAAAGAAAAAAAATCGATTATTCAAAAAAAGAAGGTGTCAGAACAGAACCAGCCTGATCAATCAAATGTGTCTCCGACACCGGATGATTATGTACATGTTTCCATGTCAAGTCTGCCTCAACATTCGAATGCTGATGATGTACATAGGTCTGTTCCACAAGTGTCACCGAAATCGGCTGCTGATGTACATGATTCTGTTCCAGACATTTCTCCGAACCCGGCTGCTGATGTTCATGGATATGCAGATTCACAGAATGTCAACAATATAATTTCTGGTATTGAAGAGTTGAAAGGACATTTGAAAACTTATATAAGTAAATTATTTTGTTATTTTTAAACAAACTTTTTTTTTATCCTAAATGTATATACAATTTTTAGGTTGACAAGAAATTTGAGGAACTGATTATTTTGATAAAAGCAAATCACTCCCAGCTGATGCAATCTATAGGCAAAGAGAACATCAATTTGCAGGCTAATACAAGCACATTTCAGTCTGACAAACAAACATCTCAGTAAATACCAATTGATCTCGATGATATGGGTGGTGTAGCTGAGGATGGTGGTGGTTTTTCTGGTAAAAATGGTGAGCATCATATCGTCGACGATGCAGGGGATGTCGATGTAGATGGTGTTGGTGTTTCCGTAAATGAGGGTGAACAAATAGTCAGTGATAATTCAAAGGTAATATTTATGATACATTGGGTATGTTGTGTATCATGCACATATACTCAATGCTTTGTATCATGATCACTTTCTTTTCCCATTTTATATTCTGTCATGTATCATGCATATTTACTCAATACTATGTATCATGTGTTTATAATCAATGTTACGTATCAGCACAAATTATGTTAACAATTTTTATTTCAAAACTGCATATTCAGGATGGTGACGCACATTAGTCGCACCAAGATTTAAATGAACATATCATGGACCAAGACGTTGATGACAATGTTCAGCACAACATCCCTCAAGTGTTGCCCAAAAAAACAACAACGGATGCATCGGTACATTTTTCAATTTTGATTTATGACACACAATTTCATTACACACAAATTTATTTTAAAAATCATTACATCATATTATACAGGATTCTTCCACTTCAACAACAATATCGCCATCAACTCAAGCAGCAATAGATGCGCTTATCAAAGATTTGGGTAAAGATCCTACTAATGCTAGACCATTATATTCTTACGATTCGAAGAATATAACAAGCAGCCAGTACTTGTTGACCGACAGTCAATTACCCACTGATATTCCAATAATGAAGATTGCTGTTAAAACTGATGCAGTCACTCCTGCGCATAGAAATAGAATGCCTTCGAGAAGGATTCAATCTCCATATTGTACTTCTTTTGGGTCAAGCGAGAAGGGAAAAGAGAAATTGAAGGATATGGATCGACTCCATTTTCCGTTCGAAGGATGTGGCATTACAGATAAAGTTTCGCCGAAACTTATTGAGAATTACATGAATTGGTTGTCAAGGGGTCTTCTAAAAAATCATAACAGTAAGTAAGTTTTATACATTTTTTTGCAAGTGTTAGGCGTAATCATTTTTTATACAACTAATTCATGATACTTTATTTTATAAAATTGTAAATAAGTGAATATTATGTATCATGTACATACATTGAAAACTTATGTATCATATATGCAGGAACCCATCGGACGATAAATACAGATCAAATCTTCTTCTTTTGGATTTACGGTGATGGACTTTGTAGTTGCTTTTCCAATGAACAAGAATTGGTTTTATGCCATGTCACAGCCAAACAAATGTTGGTCTGATGAGGTAATAATATTAAACTATTTATGAAATGTGTATCAGTCATAACTATATTATAACATAATGATACATTCTGTAGAAGTATCATACTATTTAATTAGCAATGATACATTCTGTAGAAGTATTATACTATTTAATTTGCAAAAGTACCATACTATATTCACATAATTATATTTCATTTTTATATTGTTTAGATGTATATCATTTCTTACTATGTTTTCATTTTGTTTATAGCACATCGCTGTGATTTTTTACTACCTTCGTAAAAAATCAAAACTTTGCAGCATGGATAATACAGATACACAACAACCCACTGTTTGTTCATGTCACATGTAAAAAACTATTATGATAGATATTACATGGACGATGATGATGATTGTCTTACTACACAAGAACATATTGATCGCGCTTTAGTTGTATCTGTACATGAGAGGTCAATAATTAACATCATCAAAGGGTTTGGAATACCAGCTGCTTTACCATGGCATCTTCTAGATGAGGTCTACATCCCAATTAACTGTGGTCAAGAATTCCATTGGGTATTGGCTGTTGTTGATTTGAAAAACAGGTTGATAAGGGTTTTTGACTCATCAATTAGCACAAGGAAAAAAACAATTCCTCCTGAGATCAAGATGTTGTCTAAAATGCTTCCTTTATACCTACTTGACAATGGATTTTTTGAAGAAAATGAACGCACAAAATTTGCTGATTGTCATGCATATAAAGACAACATTAGTGGTTCACTTCTGGAGCCTCAAGTTCCTTTCATGATTGAATTTGCACAAGACATCCCTACACAGGAATGCGATAGCCTGTAAGTATCAAGAATTTTTCATTTGCCCTTTTTAATGTATCATTAAGTTCTTGATACTTAACGCACAAAATTTGCTGATTGTCATGCATATAAAGACAACATTACTGGTTCACTTCTGGAGCCTCAAGTTCCTTTCATGATTGAATTTGCACAAGACATCCCTACACAGGAATGTGATAGCCTGTAAGTATCAAGAGTTTTTCATTTGACCTTTTTAATGTATCATTAAATTTTTAATTTATTCTGTATTTTTTTGTAGAGACTGTGGGTTATATGTTACTGCATTTGCCGAGTATATCAGTGACCAAATCAATATATCATATGCTGATTTTAGTCTTGATTACCTGCGCCAAAGATATGGAGCATTGCTGTGGAGTTGTGGAAGTGAGAAGGCTAAGTGCGGATATGTTAGTGACAATGATGATCCACCAAAATCCAGGGGCGTAGTCACACCACCACCAGAAGAAGATTTAGTTCACATAGTGTAGCATTTCATGATAAAACAATGTTTTAATGTTATATTTATTGTTTTTATATGTTATTGAACAACTATTTTTATCCTTTTTCATGTTATTTTTTTGGTTTTGTCAATTTCCATGAATATTTTTTTAACATTACGTAACAAATATATTTATATTGAAAATATAAGTATTTGACATATTATAGCCCCACACAGGTTTAATTCATTTAATAAAGTATAGTCAAAGTATTTATAATTAAACATAGGCATAAAGATTTTTAAATTTTTTATTTAATGGAGATGATACACTGGGCAAAACCAAATGATACATATATAACAAACACACACTAAAAATAAATGATACATTGGCTAAACCGTATGTATCATGTACAATATGTTACCTATAATCCTTAAATTTTACATGATATTTAGGTAAATTGAATAGCATAGTTATATGAATTGGTATTATTTTTTAAAAGCAAAGTTTTTTACTGTATATTTCAAGAAAAGCATAACAAAAAAAGCATTACACAAGTTAAATTATATAAATTCACATGATACATGATTTATAGTCATTGTAAATTACACAATAATCTCAATAATATTTTTGTATTTTTTATCTAATGGAGATGTATCATTGTGCAAATCAATGATACACACTAAAAGTACATGATACATTAGATAAACAATGTGTACCAAAAACACACAATAAAAGTACATGATACACTAGATAAACCATATGTATCATGTACATTATGTTACCTAATAATTCTTAAATTTATATATCTTACTGTAGCATAAGATTTATAAAATTTTATATTAAAAACAAATATTGACACAAGTATATTTATCAACACTAATAATAATAAAGTATTTATAATCAAAAGCACGACTTCAAATTTAATTACCACATGTTTGTAAGTTTATTTATCTAAACACAAAGTGTTCAATTTGCAGTTGTAATGAAAACTGAAATTCTTTAAAATGTTTATGTTATAAATTATTCTTGATATCATAGAAACATTACGACTAATTCACTTCTCTTTTGGGTAGAAAGTACAAGTTCTTCTGTTGTGCCCTTCTTGTCCACAACAGTTTGTTTTCACCGAAATCTTTTCATCTGCATTCTTTCTTCTTCTTTTTCTTGGTCATCTAGGTGATCTTCTGTATCTAGGTGGATACACAGTTTCAGCTACCACGTGTTTAGGATTTGACCAATCTTCCTTATGTGGCATTGGTACCATTGGAATTTCATATGTTTTTGCCAACGCATCAGGCTTGTAATAATCAGAGTAATACGAATTCATATCGGTGACATTCTTTTTTTTCAATACAGCGATTGCATGTGAACAAGGTATCTCATCTAGTTGAAATCTACCACAACAACATACTTTCCGCTCAAGACAAACAATATATCTTCTTCCATTTTCATAAACTGAGAAAATAAACTCAGATAACGGAACAACCTGTGTACATTAAAAATTTTAAATATATAACTTTTAGAAAAAAAATCATGTTAAAAAAAGCAGAATGATACACTGAATTAGATACATATAATATAAAGTATTATATAATGATACATACCTCCATTTTTGAACTTTTAGCCGCGTTTATAATCAACAATTCCTCAAATTTTCTACCTAATGTGTCCTTTGTGTATGAGGCTACTTCTCCATTTTTGCAATGCCAAGATCCAAAAAGAATTCTAACCTCTTCCAAGAATTTTAATATAGTTAATTGGCGTGCTTCAACAAGACAACTATTGATACATTCTGCAATGTTTGAAGTCATCATTCTACCTGTGTTTACTGTTGCATGAACTCTTGACCACTTTTCGTAACCTGCATATTCAAGGTACTCCTTAACCCTGTGATCAATTCTATCAACCTTAGCCATCTACTTATCAAAATCTTCCTTTCTATATGCCTTGGCCATAGAGTAGAATAGATCACTTATGGCCTTTCTGCTCCTTTTGAAGTTTCCACATAAATTCTTCCAAAGATGCCAGATGCATACATAATGAGCTACATCGGGGAACACAATCCTAACACTCTTCATAATACTCTCATTTCTATATGGAACAACACACATATCTTTTCTATCGCCAAATGCATGTTTGAACTGTTCGAAAAACCATGTCCACGAACAATCATTTTCGGTGTCAACAACACCATATGCCAATGGAAATATGCAACCTAATTACACACACATTATATTATTTGATACGTAATATATAAAAAGACATCATTACTATAAATAAAAAATACCTGCGCCATCAAGTGTGGTTGCTGAGACAAATATCCCTTTGTAAGCTCCACTCAGATGTGCACCATCCACAACAACTACTGGTCTGCAGTATTTAAATCCCCTAATTAATGGTCTTAAGGCGATGAACATATACATAAATTCATCCTCTTCAGTCTTATGCATTCTTATATAAGAATCTGGATACACAGTTTTTAACATGTGTATGTATTGCAACATCCGTCTATATCCTGCAGATGGTTTTCCCCTAATCATGGAGAGCGCACGTTCTTTAGCACGCCATGCTTGCTGGTAAAATATTTCAACCCCATAATATTCTCTAATATCATCAATTATATCTCTTGGTGTATAAATTCGTTTATAATTGACCAATTTTGGAGCTGTCACTCCACTTAAAAATCTGACTGTTACTTGGACTTTGGTTAATACCCTCTCCCTCATCGAACACGTATGTTCACTATTGAAATTTATAACAATGAATACATCAGATTTTTTCATGCACGACGCCTTCCTAGTCCAATCACATTTGTCTGAAAAGCATACCAACACATAGCTGTGTACATTTTTTAAGAATATTAATACACATATCAAATACATCATATAATATATTCAACAATAATGTTTAAAGTAATCAAACAATGAATTACACAAAAAGTATCAACCAATTTGTAAGAAAAGTATCAAAATTTAATGAAAAGTATCCACTAGTTGTGATATGACTGTTTAAACTGCTACAATCCTTACTATATCAGTAGTAGTATATTCAAATATCAAATATAGTTATTTCAATGTATCAAAAACAAAATTCTGAAATGATGATACATTAAAATATAAAAGAACATATGAAACATGCAGGTTTTCATATAAAATAGTAATGTTTCATGTACTAATTAAAATATAAAACAACACCTGATACATTAAAATATCAAAACACTGTCATACCTTTGTTGATCAGACCTCTTTACTTCGCAATTGAAGTTGTTCTTTATCTTATATTTCATCATCACATCTACAAGTGTTGCTTTATCCTTATATATCTGACCTGTCTTCACATCAACAATATCTGAATTGATTATAACATTTGCAACTCCAACTTCTGCATTTTCATGTGACTCAAATAAGCTAGTTCAACCATTGCCAAAGCCTATGTATCATTTGTTGTGCCTTCTACACACGTTATTTCTCCACTTGTTCCATCAAAGTTATGTACAGTACCACTATTCTTTTCAATTGTGTCAATACATAATGGTTACACTGAAAATCAGGCTCGTTTTTTTCAGTTCAAAATATAGTTTAACACTCATATCGTTCTTAAGTTTCATCGGACAGGAGTTACCTTCTACAATGTAAAGAATTTCAATTTCTTTCCTTGATACATCAATATCCAACTCGGCTGCAATTGCTGCTTTGAGATTAGAAAACGAAATTGAATCTCCAACAACGATTCCATCGATTTTGTAACTTTCATACTACAATTCGTTCACCCAAATTCCGGAATGTTTCATCAAAATCGAAGTATTCATCTTGAAAAACCCACTGTAACAACAATAAAATTTTTGTAGTTCCAATTTTAACAGGCTGTTTAAAAAATTTGTTTTCAAAATAGATGATATAATCTTTGATTTTCAAAATTTGAAATTAATATCCAATTAAGTGCTGATTTAATGCTGATTGATGATCTGTTACCACAAATTAAGCTGTTTTAGTAACAACATTAACTTTACCGTTTTTCTCCCCTATTTTTTCTTAACAGTTTTAAATTACCATGTATCATTTACCATGTATCACTACAGTCTAAAGTATCACGGCTCAACAAATTTAAGGAATTTTTTGTAATTACTAAAGTTGTCGGGACAGAATGTAATTATTGAATTACACTATGGGATTCCTTAAATTTATACTTTTTATTTCAGCCAAATTTAAGATTGGGCCAAAATTTAACACTCAAATTCAAGCCCAACTTTACCTTGTTTCGTTTTAATACCTAGCCCACTCCAGCATTGACCCGACCCAAATCCTTTCTTTCCCAAAGAGACTCAAAGAAACATTGTAGCTACACTCCAAACAACATCTTCACCGTGTCAACAACAATTCCAGTTACGTGACAATGATAACGGTAGCAATTATCTCCTCAAACGGTCGCAAGCAGACGGAGCAGCACACAGCGTCCATGCGTTTATTTCACGCCCGCATCGTCAACTTCATCAGTTGGTAGAACAGTGCTGCACCAACAGCTTTTCAGCGAGGCAGCTCGCACATTTTTCCCTGCAACAGCCGTGATTTTCATCCTTGACTCGCGTAGATGTACGCCACATCGAGCCTCAAGGACGGGAGATCAATCGAAGCCGTCCGCGTACCTTTCAACTGTTAAGATTTTACCCAAGAAATCGGATTTCTTCATACAAAGGGCGGTCTTCCTCTTCCTTGGAAGGTTTTTGAATTTTGGAATCGAGTTGAAATTCAAACTCTACTCATGTTCCTATCCGTTCTTCATTGCGGAGCTTGGTGTAGTGACTGGTGAAGGTTGTCGTTCCAGCTCATGTCGTCATTGTTCGCTGCCCATAACAAGGTAAACAACTCTTGGCCTTTTTCCTTTCTTCTTTCCAATTCCAACAATGTCGAATCATGAAAAAACGTTGTTGGTTATGAGCTAATCTCACATGATTCATTTTGAGCCTAAGTTTAGTCTTTATCGTAATCTTTCTGAAACTAGTGTATGTTTTTTTTTTTGGGTTTTGCTTGTTTGAGCTGGTTTTCTCTGTTATAGTTCTTCCCGAGATTCTTGGTTAAGTGTTGCTCACTTTGATTCTGTTTTGCCTAAATTTTGTCATGGTTGGTTTGTATTATGGTTGCTTGTTTTGTTTGTCTCTCTTATCTTGTCTTCCATTACTTAGTTGTTGTTTAGCTTCCTTTTGTAAATGATTTACTTGTTGTCTCATTCTTTCTTGTTACAATGTAAAATATGGTTTTCCGGAGGATTGGTTCCCATTTTGTGTTAGTTTTTTTGTTCACTGTGTATGATCTTAACATTTTCTAATTCGATCCAATTGGTTTTGCTGTTATATCTTTAAGGTTAAATACTCCATGAGAAATGATTCTATTCCTACCCTTCCATATTTCTTTGGCGTCGCTATTAATCTGAGTGTATCCATAGTCTCTTCGCATGTTAAGTTCATTTAATTTTTTTAGCATAACTCGCTTTCTTCCTCATCATAATGTTCTTATCTTCCATGTGAATTTAATCACTGTATGTATGAGTTGCATTGGTTATAATGAGTACTGGTTTGGTCATAGGATTGCTTTCATTTAGTTAATGTGCTAAGGAAAGGATTTGTTATTCTCATACCTATTTGGAATGCGTATGACCTGCATTTTCTATCCCTAATAAATTTTGGAAAAAGGGTAGATATATAAGTATTGGTCAAAATTTAGAGATAAAAGGAGTACTGTATTCTTCCTTTGAATTTTTTCGTTCCCTTTGATGTTCATGTGTTAAGCACGAAGTTTGGGGTTGGTGTTTTGAGTTTCTTCACCGCTTGTCAATCCGTCTATCTTTGATTCTGTAAATGATAACTTATTGAGAATAACTGGTTTATCATTAAAAGTAAACAATGGTATAAATACATGGAGAGAATAAGCTAACTATGGTAACTAAATATTCTAATCCCTAAGAATCAGCTCAATTATCTATCTATATTATTATACAAATTCTGTAACACTCCCCCTTAGGGCTGGCAAGGGGACCGGGTCATCCCGCCCCGGCCCGCGTCCCGTCCCGACCCGCCCCGGAACCGGCCCATCCCCCAGGGTTTAAGGGGATTAAGGGGTGGGGGATGAGGGGACCGGTCAGGGGCCGGTTCACCCCTGCGTCCCGGTCAACCCGGCCCGGTTGAACCGGCCGGTTCACGGGATCCCCCCCCCCCCAATTTTTTTATTTTTTTTAAATTTTAAAAATGTATCAGTTACTATCCATTGGGGAAACGGCTAGTGCCCCCCCCCCCAAAGGATTTATGCCTCTTTTTCACTTCCCAAACACCCCCTACCACCCCCCTACTTTTAAAATTTTATTTTAAACCCTCAAGTTATTATAATTACATTTTAATCCATTTTTAATACTATAAATACACCTATCCTCTACTATTTCTTAAAAAATCATCTATTCTCATTTCTCTCATCTATTTTATATATTCTATCAACTCTCAACTCTCAAGTGTCAATCTTAATTTCCATTCAATTTGAATTCTCATATTATTAGAATCCATATATTTCAATTTTCAATTCAAAATTTTCATATTATATCAATAAATATAATTATATTATCTAATATTTTTTATCAAGTATTGGCTTGGAGTTACAAATTACAAGTTACAACAAATCACAAGCTTCAACAATCGGTTTAACGTCTGCTATTAATGCAGACGTTTGCTACATTCGTTTCATAATATTTATATTTTATTATTCATCTTTACTTTTGTGTTACTATTATTTTTATATTACACTTTATATATAATGAAGACAGTAGACTTTTTAAATTATTTAATTTTGGTAAAAAATATAGTAAAGAAAAAAAGAGTAGTAAAAGTGGTGGTACTTCATCTAAATCAACGAGTAGAGTAAGATTTAACATAAATGATTCTACTTATGTTGATGATACTCCTTATAATATTGATTCAAATGTTCAACTCGATCACGAAAGTTTAGAACGACGTTATGGTAATATTAATCCTATCGTTGATGAAAATTCAGGTGAAGAAGTAGAAGCTGATTTGGGAGAAGAGGAGTTAGGTGAAACACCTACTAGTCCGGTGACAGAAGTTCCAATTCCAAATGAGACTATCAATTTATCGGAGCAAAATTTTGGACATCCACCCCTTATACCTCCCACAAGGGAGAAGGTGAAGTATGAACGACCTAAAACTTCTATTGTGTGGCAATTTATGACTTTTGATAAAGAAAATATTGTTGCTATTTGTAGTAAGTGTAAGCAAGCTTTTAAACATAAAAAGGTGGGGGTTAAGGTGGAACGGGGGGGATTAAATAGACATTTGTTATGTTGTGTGCCGATTCAATATAAAGAAGCTAAAGCATTAGCCAATAGAAAAAAAGGAATTTCAATTAATGAATTAGATATTACCGGTAATGCATCGATGGAGGCTTCTAACATGGTTCAAGGAACATTAGATCCTTTTAACCCCGCTGGTCCAATAACACAACGTAAATATAATAAGGAATTAGATCAGGAAAATTTAGCTAAAATGGTTTCTGTTTGTGGTTTGCCTTATAGTTTTCCTTCAAATCCCGGTTCGAATATATTCAACAAACTTATAATCCGGATTATAGAGGTTTTTCAAGAAATACTGTCAAAACTGATGTTTTTGAATATCAAGGTAAACATTGTCAATTTCTTCGTTGTCTATTTAGCATATTAGATAGTAGAGTGTCTATTACTTCCGACATGGGTCGTAGTGTTAATGGAAATTTTAACTGTAACTGCTCATTGGATTGATCATAATTAGAATTTGCAAAAAAGAATTATATGTTATAAACTATGTATAGAGAAAAAAACAGGTGCATATTTAGCTACAAATATTTGAAGTGTTTTAGATTATTATATGATTATAGATAAAATAATGTCTGTCGCATTAGATAATGCATCTAATAATACAAATGCTGCTAACATGTTAAAAGTTAGATTATGTCCAATTGACAATAACGTTTTTCATTTTAGATGTGTTGCACAGATATTAAATTTAGTTGTACAAGATGGTATTTCAATATTTGATTGTGGTAGCGTAAAAGTTGAATATGCTGTTACCTGGATTTTTCATACAAACAATGCTGCTAGAATTAGGGAATTTAATGAGCGTTGTTCACTATGTGAATTGTCACCTAGAAAAATTCCAAAACATATTAAAACAAGGTGGAATTCTCTTTACGAAATGCTTTCGGTTGCTTATAAATATAGAAGACCCATACAAATGATTTTTAATGCTCATAATGCTTACCCATTAGATAGAATTTGTGATGAAGATTGGGAAGAAACTAAAGAACTATTACAATTTTTAAGACTTTTTTATGATGCTACTACCATATTTTCGGGAATTTATTATCCTACTATTTCATCCGTATTAATAAATATTTGTGCTCTTTCAATTCAATTTTGTAAATATTAAAAAAAATAGATAAATTTAGAGTTGCAATTGTCACGACCCAAATCGGGCCGCGACTGGCACCCACACTTACCCTTTTATGTGAGCGAACCAACCAATCTAACCCCAATCGTTTACAAATAATAACAGAAAATAATGCGGAAGACTTAAACTCATTAATGAAAATCAATTCAATAAACTTCTAAAAACTCAACAACTATTATTCCCCAAAATCTGGAAGTCATCATCACAAGAACATCTATCCTCAAATTACTAATCTAAGAGTATCTAAGAAGCTAAAATACATAAAAAAATCTAGTCCATGCCGGAATTTCAAGGCATCAAGACATGAAGAGGAAGATCCAGTCCAAGCTAGAAGCATTTGCTCACCCTAAAATCCGGAGTAATGAAGACTGGCTAGAGTTGCGGTTGAGTTGAAGATGACGGCACGTTTGCTACACTCCACAAATAATCAAAAAGAAAACATACAAGTAGGGGTCAGTACAAAACACAGGTACTGAGTAGATATCATCGGCCAACTAAAAATAGAAAACAGTATACATCAGATAATATCATAAAATCAACTACAATACTCAACATGTGACATTTACAATTACCATAACCCTTGGTCACAACACCAAGCTCATCAATGAGGACTCACGCCTCCCCATCATACTCATTTGAGAATTAGGTTCATTAAATTGAGTATATTAACATATTTCAAGATTCATTCTCTTTACTAATCCTGGTATCGGAACGTGACACCCGATCCATATATACTATCCTGGTACCGGAACGTGGCACCCGATCCATATTCTATCCTGGTGTCGGAACGTGACACTCCGATCCTCATATACTATCCTGGTACCGGAACGTGGCACCCGATCCATATTCTATCCTGGTGTCGGAACGTGACACTCCGATCCTCATATACTATCCTGGTACCGGAACGTGGCACCCGATCCATATTCTATCCTAGTGTCGGAACGTGACACTCTGATCCTCATATACTATCTTGGTACCGGAACGTGGCACCCGATCCATATTCTATCCTGGTGTCGGAACGTGACACTCCGATCCTCATATACTATCCTGGTACCAGAACGTGGCACTCGATCCATATTCTATCCTGGTGTCG